GAGATTTTTCATGAATGCGGTCAGCAGAGACCCTGATAGACCAAACATCGATTGAAAAGAAAATGAAGCCCCCCCCCAAAAAAAAGAAACAAAAAAAAGAAGACGGCCCAGGAGGCTCCCCAGACAACCCAACTGTGCTCCAAGAGCTCCCCAAGAGAGGGCCCAGAGGGGGACCGCCAACCGATATTTCGAGGTCTCTGGCCCTAGAGGCCGCCTGTAGGCCCCCGGAGGCCACCAAGAGGCTCCCACGAAGCCCCGTGAGGCGCCCAAGAGACCCCCAGGAAGCCCCAAGAGATACCCAAGGGGCTCCCAGGGAACGCCTGAGAGGCCCCCCGACACACCCCAAGAAATCATGTCCCCAGAAAACCTTCGGGGGACATGGTTCATCATGGGCCCGAGAGTTCCGGAGGCCCCTCGGGGGCCCCCAGGGAACGCCCAAGAGACCCCCCAACACACCCCAACAAACCATGTCCCCAGAAAGCCTTCTAGGGACATGGTTCATCATGGGCCCGCGAGTCTCAGGAGGCTTCGAAGTACCATCATGCTACAGGAGAGCTGTCTGGGAAGTTGATTGGGAACATGACTGATCGCCTTCTCGCGGCCCTCCGCAGATCGTTTCGCGCAAAGTTACCCCAAGTGCCCTCTGGAACCGACGACGACGACGAAACCACGAAGACGACGACGACGACGACGACGACGCGCCCCAATAGGCGACGACGACTTTACGACGACCGACGACGACGGCGGCACGCCCCAACAGGCTCCCCAAGACGCCCCCAAACCCATGCTCCCAGAAGGCTTCCTGGGAACCCGATTCATACGGCCTCCGCCCCCCTACACGACCATTTTCCTCGAAGGCTTTTCTGAATGCAGATTGGCATGCGTGTATTGTGGTCCACTACTTCAGTGGAGCAGTCAAGTCGTCAATGCCTGGGGCCTGCTAGAACCTGAGCGCGCGCGAAGCGCGCGCGATGGTTCTAGTATATATATATATATATATATAGATACCTATACGACGACCCTTCGGGTGATGAGGAGGTTGCATGGGGGAACCAACTGATGAAAACTGCAATGGGACACCATCTGGACACCCTGGGGAATGATAAATGCCACCATCGGGACACCATCGGGACGCAATTGTGGTCCATCCTTCCACGATTTATCTGTCGATCCCACTATCGGCCTCACTATAGGTCTCGCTATCGATTTTA